GTTTCAATCAAATGTATACTGTTGGACCGGCGGGAACGTTCGCTCAATCACGACTCTGCGCAGGAAGACACCGAAGTTGGAGCCCATGCGGTGCGGCAGAGCCAAGCCCTGCGCAGGAGAGAACCATCTACCGTTGCAGGCAGAACACCAATTGGAACCCTACGGACATGATCGGTATACGCTGTCTCGCAACCGTCGACGCAATGCTGCAAGTCTACCTTCATGCCATGCACGGCAGGGATCTCAGCGTGTCCGACCGACCAAAAGGTGTGCCAATGGGCGAAAAGACGCCGCACGAGGTTACCTTTCGGCCGATTTTCAAGCCAAAAGGAAACCTTTTGGACGGCTGTCTCTGAAAAGAGACAAAAGGTATCCACAGGCGGCGTATTTTGCTCGACTTTTCGCCCGTCTGAACTGAACTGCCGGTATCCCTGCCGTGATGTAAGGGTGACCATCGCGTCGCTGCAACAATTGTCTACACCGACACGGTTTGGCCAGCTATTATGAGAACGCGACGGGGCCTGAGAGCGGTCAGCATCTCCGATGGGAATGCTGTCCTGTCCGGCATGTCGAGAATAGTGGCACCGCTTTGAACGCGACGATGCAAGGAAAGCCTTGTGTCCTCGGAGAACCGACCGGAAACACAACACCACGTATTCAACGTATGATTCTGAATCATGGGGTGAAAGAGGAAGCACCGATCATCGAAAGCCAACACCGGTGCGCAGGGATCGCCGGGATGCGGGCGTGCCAGAGAGATGTATATTTGCAAACGCCAGGAACGCGCCATTCGAGGAATGGAGGGGAAGAGCACAGAAACCGAGCACTCACCTGCTCGCTGCATGCATGCCCAGTCCTCCTCTGTTCGGGGGCACCAGGTTGTCCATGATAGGGCGCGGATCGGTCGGGTGCGATATCTTGTGTTTACGCGTCGAGCTCGTGCTCGAACGCGGCTCGCTCGAGCTAATCGACGAACGGCCCTGCCCGCCAGAGTTCGTGCGTTTGAACCATTTATTCGTGAAGGCTGCGAAGCCGTTTGAGGGGGATGCAGAGCGCGGCGTGCCCAGGAAGCTTGCGGGAGATGAGGGGGAGGGCGTCGTCGCCGGGGGCGGGCTCAAAGTGTTGGATGTGCTTCTGCGCGGGGCCATGAGGTACGTGGCTTAGAGGAAATGAGCGTGGCGGGTAGGCAAGTCGGATGAAGTGATAGTGAAGGACTGCGGGTGGGGGAGGGGAAGGAGGTGAGACCGGTGAAGGAGCGTAGCCGGTGGATAGTCGTCGGTTTTCAGTAAAAGTCGTGTGGGGTATCTTTCTGCAACATTCGGATATGTCGTGGTGGTCGTGGGCAGGATATGGACGCGTACCTCGGTGGACGGGGAAAGGTCAGCGATACATCCGCCAGCGACTGCTGCTACAGATGCCGTATGACCATATATGGGCTGCCCGCACGATCGGCTGATTCCCTCGTTGCTCTCGGCTTGCTCTCGGTATGGATGTGTCTTCTGTCGACGTGGACGTCGTAGAGTACAGGTCGGTGTAAGTTAAAGATATGGGTGTGCTGTATCAACCGGCGGCGAGCCGTTTGTCGCGCAAAACTCAGCTGTGATGGATCGTGGGAGGCGCCTGCCGTACCCGAGAGGTGATCAGCGAGCCTCGAGGTGGCAGTAGTGCTCTTCTGGTCGGATTGTAGTACACACGACCGACCTGCTCTGAATTATCATGTCCGTCCGCACTCATGCTCAAATTCTGACCCAGTTTCACGCCGAGAGAGGGTAGGAATACTCGGGAGAGCGGGCCCGGCACTGCGGGCGTCTGTTGATCAAGCTCTGCGCGGAGGTTGTGCCGCGACGCGAGGAGGACCTTGTCCTCTCCCACAATCTACCCGCCGTCCTCGTTGTTCTCTCGCTTTATCCTCGACGTTCTGCTTACGACGTGGACGTGTATACCAGCCGCGGTCGACTTTGGAATGTCTGTTTATTTCACCGACTCTGGCGATACCTCCCAGGACATGATATCCCTCGCGACCCTGCCGTACGATCTCCTCCTCAACATTGCGCGCCATCTAGAGCTTCCGGATATCAATTCAGTTCAGCTGGTGAGTGTTGACTCAAGGCATGATGTGTGGTTTCGTGTACGCCTGCTTTGGTTCAGGTTCAGTTCATGGTGCGCCTCCTGCACAATCGAAGATTATGACCCTTCTCCCTACCCTCTTTGCTCACGAGGACGTCGCTGGCGGCACAGGCTGTATTGCCATTCTGATCTGCATATGCGCAAGTTGGTTTGACCTTGGGTGGTACGCGAGCCACCTTGCGCGCATTTTGGCAATGGCAGGTCAATCGAGCTCGTCCAATATCCCCTCTTCGCGTGTTCTCGCCCCCGTGCGCCTGTTGAACGCCACGCTGCCCGAGTTGCGTTGTATTCAAAAGTGGATCTCAAAGTCACTGTGGTGTTCCTCGGCGACGTGCAGTGAATACCCGCGGAGTCGCGGTGGCCGCACATCCGGGGTTCAAGCGGACATACCCCCCTTTGGTTGATCATATTATACGATGTTCAAGCACAGACGCTTCCCTTCCATCCTCTTGTTCGACTCTGTATCGCCCGCGAAGTACCCGTAGCTAATATCCATCCACAGTCTTGCAAATCTCTGCATGCTTTCGCCATCACACGCCCCGTGTATCGCAACCTCGCCTCCGTGCTGCTCAAACGATGTCGCGCGCTCCCCCTCCACGGATTCCAACGACTGTCCGACCTGACCGACGAGCAGCTAATAGAGGCCGTACACCAAGCGACTCGATTAGAGCACGCCTGGCTCACGCGCGGCCCGCGACCGTCGACCTCCTCGCCCTACCTCAATACCCCGAACAGCGCCGGCACGCGGTCGTGGTACAAGGTCATAAGCGCGCCCCCGAACGAAGAAGTGGACTGGTTGTCTCCCATCACGTCAAGTTATAGTCTCTGCGCGACGAAGAGCGGGAAGGTGGTGTGCTGGGACGTCCACCGAGATATCTGCCGGGCCGAGTGGGATCCCAAGGAGCGCTGGGAGCTCTGGAAGTGCAGAGTTGAGTTTGATATCCGGACGGTGTTCTTCACCATGGCGAAGATCCTCCAGCGGTCGTGAGTGTGCGATGTGGCGCGTGTGGTGGCGGTATTGACGTGCACGCAGGTTTGACGACAGGGTCATGGAGTTCGTCCTCATGAAACTGGAGTTTCCACCGGAGGATGGCGAGCCGACATTCGCAGAACTGACAACGTTCAAGACCACTGGTGTCGTCATGAACGTCTTTCTGCTCGATCCCTCGTCACGACTTCTCTCGGCGTTCGTGTGGGTCTCGAACACGAACACGATCGGGCTTTACGCACTGCTGGACTGGGACAAACAGGAGTACGTCTTCATCGACACCGGTATCGAATGCGTACGTATCACTTGACTCTAGCTGGCCTTCTCTGACCTCTCCCTGCAGTCAATGTCCTCGAACTGGTCATGTATCCTGTACCAGGAGCAGATCGTGATTCATTCCGAGGAGAGCGACATCGCGCACCAGTACTTCTACCCGATCTCCGTCCTCCAGCGGCATTCACGGCGATCGTCAACAGAGAGCACGTTCGTTCCCAGCATCGATGAGCGACTGGCACCCATCACGACCATGTCCGCGCCTTTCATCTTCCCCCCACAGACACGGTCAAACTCGCCCGAATCGATACTGGACGTGGACGAGCAAGCGATCAACGGTGACGCGAACGACGGTCAAGGCGACACTAATGAGGATGTCGAGGACGACGGGTCGGGCACAGTCTCAGACTCCAACCCGTTCCCATATCCGCCCTGGTACCCAGAGAGCGCGCACTTTGTCCGACAATGGTGGCCGACAGTTGCGTCTGTCCCACGGCTCAGCTGTACGGTCGTGCTACTGGCGGACCATGAGCCGGACACACATCGCACCCGCTATGTCCTCGCGCAACACTACTTCAAGGTTCCCCTGATCGAGCCCGAGGACCTCGCGCAGCTCCCCGCGGACGCCGCGAAAGCTGTCGCCAACGTACACGCACCGATGAACGGCTTCGCTCCTACCATGGAGAACGGTGTTGCATCCAGCCCGACCGCCTCCTCATCGTCGTCGTCTTCCTCCTCCTCGACAACGGTCTCGGAGTTCGATGAATGGAACGTGCCTCCCGAACCCGCCTCGCCCACCCCCAACCGCAGCACGCGCAACATCGAGTCCTCGATGATGCGCCTCTGGTACGTCTCGGAGCCGTTCGAGGTGGTGTGCGTGCTGGACGGGATGGACGACGACCTGGACCCGGACGGCGCGCAGGAGCGGCCGCGGCCGCTCATGGCCGTCGACTTCGGGCACGCCGTGTGGATCGAGTTCACGTACCCGCCGGAGATGGAGCGCGACGAAAAGCGGCTGCGGTTCGTGACGTTCCCCCCGGTGACGACCGACCGGGACGAGATGACGTACGGGGGCGGGCGCACGGCGTCGTCGCTCGAGGGCGTCGTGCACACGCTCGACGTCCCGGACGAGCTCGACCTGGATACGGTGGAGACGATCAACATTGACCAGAGCCAGGGCGCGATCATCATCTCGGTGCGGGACGGGAAGATCTTCATATTGTGTTATGAGTGAGATTGCATGCGTTCATGGATTGTGGATCACGGATGTGGCTATGTATGAACGGATCTGGTGGGTGGGTGGTCGAGGATGTGATATGTTGTGGGTGTAATGCCCATAACAAACGACGCCAGGATGGTTGTTGGATTGGATGGGAAGGCTTCGTGTATCTCTTTTCACGCTTTCGGGTAGAACAGCTAATGTATCGCTCTAGTACGTACCGGCCGTGTATTAACATATCGCTGATCGCCTCAGGCCCACTCGATTCGCGCACAGGAGTTGAAAACTTGGTAGCAACTTTGCAGCATTGATGTTTGGTTCTTGAATCCGTTGTCGAGGAGTCAAGGATCCCTGTGGACCACCTCGTATTGCTGTCATTTTGCTGCACATACATCTCTGTTAGTATATCGGTTAGTACACGCGCCTGTCATTTGGGGACCTTCCTCTCAGTGGCGCGCGAAAGCGGGGTTCGACTCCCCGACAGAGAGTGTTTTTTGGCTACTTCCAGCGGTTTTGGTGAGAACAGGACGAGAGGAAGGTGCAGAAGAGGTCAGGAAGTTCGGGTTACCGAAGATGGCGGTATAAACGCCAGCGGCCTCCATAAACGGTCTTTCCCGCCCCTAACGCTTTGAGTTTCTGGTCAGTCGAGGGTCGGTCGACATGACTGATAAGCGCTTAGCATCCGAAGGACCTCTCGACTCTTCCATCCATGACTGCGGCCACCTAGGGCCTCTGCATCCGGAGTACTCACAGAAAAGAAAGGAGACGGGAAAGAAAGGTAAGTATGCGGTACTTCACGACGTGTCTCTCCAACAGGCCACTGAATATCATGACAATGCACCCGAGCCCGCAAGGGCCTGGACCGCAACTCCGAGTCCTAGTACTTGGTGCGCCCATCTATGCTCACCGACGACGCCATGCTTCCACTCCCCATCAGTATCACACCCGATAATCCACGGTCACCCTCAGCACCTCCTTCGCCGCCTTACCCCCACCATGATCGCGGCTCTGGACGAGTAAGTACAGTAGCTTTCCAGCATGCCGTTGTCCGGCCGACGAGCGTCTGGAAGGCTGCCGATTCTCGAAGATGTCGAATTCCTTCAGGGTCCACCCATCCGCGCTGTCAACGCCATGGGTATTTGCAGCCGTACTGCGCGGAGCGCGTGCCAGTGATAACTTGAGCGTTTTCGAGCCCAGAGTTCTGGCACTTCGAATGTGATAGAAGGCGTGGAATGTGACGACTTTGGAATCGGTCCCGCTGTGGCTTGCGCCGCGAGAAGCCGTCGAAGGAGCAGAGCAGAACTCGAAGGTGTGGATGATTGTGAGTCTTGCCGATGAGTACACCATGTCACCGCACCCGGCAATGCCCCCACCGAGCGTCCTCAGCATCACATTCCACGCTCTTGACAAGTTCCGGCTGCCATACCTGCCATCAAGCTATATCTTTGGAATCTCGCTGGGATATAGGTGTCACTCCTCCAAGTTCAAGAGCTTTGGGCTATATCCTGATTGCACGTACTTGGTCCCATTCCAGACTGAATGTGCTACCTGATGCTGCCAACAGTGAGCACTCTGCCAGGGACAGTGATGATCACCTGAACTTTGTGCAAGTTGACGTGTGCAGGGAAGACAGCCAACTTAGGTAAGCTCCACCAGCACCCAGCACGATGCAGCTTACTTGTGAGAAGCCTGGTTACCAAGGGCCTGTTCGGTAACATTTAACTCAAAAATGTAGTGGTATTTGGTGCCTTTATAAGGGAGTATATCCCTTTCAACCCTTAAAAAAGTACCCTGGAAGGAATATTCTCCCTTATATGGTCACAAAACACTGGTGCATTTTTACAAACATGTTTACCAAACAGGGCCCTAATGCCTGTGGCACTGGACTGTTGGACCAAGATGGCTGATGTCTGCCTGCAGCACTCCTTGAGAATGAAAGAAATGGGCTCAAGACTCCAGTCGGACTAGGAGTGGCATCTGAGGCATCATCAGAAGTTCCAGAAATTGCTGTGCACGCTGCCACAGCGCCCTCAGCGCGCCTCAGCAGAGCCAGCAGCGTAGCATGGCAGCGTCAACAAGCGCCAGAACCATCTTGACCTATCTTCACACCCACTCACTTTCTGCAATCAGTCCGGAGGCCATTTGAAGGTTACATTCCGATTATTAGGCCTCTCACGTATGTTCTTTCAAGGTTTTATGGCGTAGAATGCCTCGTTCAGCTGACAAACAACAGAACAATGCAAATTCCGAGGTCAAAGTGCACATACAATTGCACGTGAACCATCAGTGTTTTTGGCAAACGAGAAGAACCATAGTGAGTCTATATCTTATGGAACATGTATTCAAAATTGCGAGTGGCAGAGTGTGCTAACTGTCATTCTGCAGGCAGATCAAGTTGAGGTTCTCATGGTCAGCGCCCTCAGCGCCTGTCAGCACGACAGCAGTTTCTGAGACTTCTGATGATCTATTGTTCCAGAAGTGCACCTTGTGCCACATCCTTATGTGATACAAAATTTACTTCTCAAAAATGGGTGATTCCCATGCATTGAATTCGTATCTTGCCGAGGTTCTGGTTCTCAAGCCTCATGTCTTATATTGTCCGAATAGAACTGGGGCACCAGATAAATTGCAACACTGGCAGTGGTCAGGCTTCATCTTCTAGAAGTGTCAGGCAGGCAGGAAATTGAATTCGAACATTCCTGATTATTACAGAAAGTGCCAACATGTCTGAATTCTAGACCATTGGTGCTTCCATTTTTTTCAAATCTTCCCATGAGCTTCAGCCTTTATAGTACTGAAATTGCCTCAAAGATATAGTTTGATCGGCCATAATGCACACCATTAGCTGGAACGGCCCCCAAAAAGTACAGTTTGATCGGCCTTTATGTATTTCAACCTCTTGCATTGATTTAAAAAGTTTAAACACCTACAAGGGTCTTAGAGATGTTGTCTGGGCAAGTCTTATCCCTTACGGAACGAAAGACGCCCCAGACCAGGATATAATCTCTTGAAATAGCGATGCTTATGCCTGTCTCCCCCATCCTTGCCTCATCACCTGAGCCTTCCAGTCTAATGGCCAAGGCATTTACATTGCGTCAATCTTTGCCTCATGAAGGCAAGGCTATTCGAAATGGTAGGCATGGCTTCCATTAACAGGCATGCTTGTTTGTGCTGACACAGCCACTTTCTTTCATCCTGTGCACGGCCCCCCCCCTTTGCAGCCTTGTATGAGGGAGCGCGGGTACCTGACCTTGCGGCCAAGACCGCAGCGTACAACCAGATCCAATCTTTGGTCCCCGGAGGATTTCCTTGGTACACGAAGCACAGGCACCAAACCTGGTGCTCAAGGCAAGATGTGCAGCGGGGCATCTCGCGGGGCCGCAGGCACGTTCAATCTCCCGACACCTATGGTAAGCTCTCTACAGACTGGAGTCACTCTGTCTACGAGAGGCTGATGCGGGTGTGGGATAGGCATGATCGAAAACGAAATGCGGGTCATACCCGACCCGCGGCTCTCTGACATCGCGCGCTGGGCGGCGCACATGGAAGTCTCGCGTGCGCGCGTGTTCGAGATCGCCAGCTTCGTGGCAGGTCTCAACTGAGCGTGAATCCACGCGCGGGTTGCTGCGGAGGCGCTCAGGTGATGGTGACGTGGGGACGGGGCATAGTTGACTGATTGAAGCGAAGGTTACTCTGTATATGATTAAGAAAGGCATCAGTCACTTCTTGCTCACGCTGCTGCACGATGCCTCCACACCACTGCCGTGCGCAAGACAAGATGGGGCAAACAGCAAGAACGAACGCCGCTTTTGCACTATGCTACCAGTGTACGTATTAAGGCTAAGATAGCGTGAATGTATATCGAAGAGCGGTGAGGATGTAACGTCGCGCGAACTCACGCGTAGTCTACTTGGGCGATGAGCCCGGTGTGCTCGTGGTCGGGGGAGCGGAGGAGCCCTGCTGGGACGAAGGCGGTGGAGGCTGAGGGCCACCAGCAAGGACGGCCTGCGCGGCACCCCAGAAGGTGCTCGGCATCTCGCGCGCCATCGCTTCCTGCTCTTCCTTGATGAGCCGGTCGAAGTTGTCCTTGTTCTGGCGCATGTACTCCTGCTCCTCGAGGTACTGACGCTGCGCCTCAAGTCGCTTTTGCTCGAGGTAGGTGAGCGGCACCTTGTCCGCGGCGCTTGGCTACGAGTCCGAACGACAGCGTGAGGCGCAGGAAGATTGGAACTTGGAAATCACACACGCACCTCGGAAGATCCGCCGAAGAGCCCGCTGAGCGTCCAGCCACCACGAGAGAGGCCCTTACGGCTGTGTTCCCACTCTTCGATGTGCTGGCGCTTCATCTCCGCCTCCTTCTTCGCGTACTCGATGGGGATGTTCTTGCCCGCGTACGCCTGGAGCACAGGTCGCACGTCCGGTGTCTTGAATATAGCGATTGCTACAAAACTTCGTCAGCGCCATTGGTGGGACGAAGGTGACGGGCGGCGAGCACATACATTCAAGGAAGGGGATCATAGCGACGAGACCGCGATCCTTGGGGTCGCCAGTCCACTTCGGCAGAATGACTGCGTTCTCGGGGTTCGGCGTGACGTGCTCTGGGTGCGTGTCAAGTAGGATAACCTTTGAAAGATCCCGGTTAAGGTACTTCAGGTCCTTGACGGGCTGACCACCCTTCTCGGACCGACAGGCATCCCGGAAAAGCCTGTGGATGATGTAGAACTGGTAGGGATCAAGCTTGTCTATGATAGGCATCGCGGTCTATGGATATATGCAGACGTCAATATTCCTCGACCACTGGGCATATGGGAATCACGTACGTAGTGATACTGCGTCGTAAAGATCACAACCTCGTAGAACTGCGATAGATAAGCCAAGAAGTAGTCGACGCCCGGACGTTTCGCCGTTCTCCAGCCGTGTTGCCGCTAGGAGCAGAGTGAGTCACGCGTGGCAAGGGGCTTTCGCGATGATATAGCACGTACGTCCCAAGTCGACGTGACAAGCAAGTCGTCCACAGAGACGAGAAGGGTGTAGGGGCGGTACATCGGGCCCTGCATAGGTGGGGGTAGAAGTTCGGGCCACAAGGGTTCAGTGAATGTCTGCGCGCGCCGATGCTGTTAATAACTCTCGCAATTCCACCAAGCGGAGCGACACATACATCGAAGAGACCCGTAAAGCGAGATCTTGTCCTCTCCCAACGCGATTGCGTAGCCTCCTCCGGAGACTGTCAGACACATCAGCGCGAGTCTGCACGCAGGACATCTTGACACGTACCAGCCTCTTCGCTCTCAACTCATCCTCATCCCATGGCCTTCCCATAAACCACGTCACCGCACCAGCGCCCGCAAGCATGAACGCAAACGAAACGCGACCTAAGAAGCGTCGCCTCCGCTCGATACTTGATAGCGAATCCTTCGACGACTTCGCCCCGGTGCGCTCACGCTTCGCATCCTCCTCCTCCCCAGGCGAGAAGTCCAGACTGGGAACA